CAGATATATTTTCAAAATCTAAGAATTTGGAATTTGAAAAGAAAACGATTTAGACTCAAAAATTAAACAAAATCTGAATTTTTAGGAGGAAGTTTCAAGAAATCCCAAAAGTTGCTGTTTCCAAATTTCTTGAAATTGAAAAAACATTTCGTTGANTAATAGTTGTACCCTCGATGTACCCTTTTTCGATGTACCCTTGGATCGTGGGCCAGGAAACAGTAATTTTTAGAAAATCTTAAAATCATTTTTTTCACTTTTGGAATTTTCGGGGATTTGAAAACTTCAAAACTTTTGAAGTTTTTAGAAATTCATTATTTTAGAATATAAAAAATCCCACTAATTTTGAAGAATCCCTAGTCGAAAAAACCGAAAACGCAAATTCCAAAAAAAAAACAAAATCCATATAATCCGATAAATACACCAGCTTCTGTGGGTGTATATTTTTCTATCCCGTCACTAAAAAAAAACAAGTTTTGGAATTTTTTTTGGAAAAATTCCTAAAATTGTTCCCTTTATTATTCCAGAAGGGTAGAAATAAAAGAGGGAAAGAAGAATAAGGAAAATTTGGGTTTTATTTATTTAAATTGGGTTGGAAAAAGGAGAGAAAAGAAAAGAGGATTCATAGAAATGCCCCCGTCTTTTCATATTTCTTTTTTTCTGAAGACAAATATTCCTCATTATTTTTTCTCTCTTTTTTTTGGGCTGAAATTGAAAAAAAGCAAATAGATCTGGTCTTTAAAATGTGTTTTGTTATTTTAATAATTCATATTTGTAATCCGGGCCTTTGCCGGGCCTTCGCGGGCCCTGCCATAATTTCTTTCAGAATCAATATTTTCGAACCAACTAAATCAGATATGATAGAGCTCCACGAGTACTACAAAACGGTATTATTTGGAATACTGTATCTTATCTATGAACAAAGTTAGAACTTCAGAACTTTAGAATTTTAGATATTTAGAATTTTAGAATTTTAGAAATTTAGAATTTTAGAATTTTAGAATTTTAGAATTTTAGAATTTTCAAAATTCCCCCGATTTTCTGTAATTTCCGGCTCAAAAATTCCAGATCAAAATTCAAAAAAATCCGAATAAAATCTCAATGTTTATAACCGGAAATTCCACATTTTTTCTAAGTTTTTTTGCTGTCGTATGACCTAATCAAAAGTACCCTTTTTCGATGTACCCTTGGATACTGGGCCCTGTTTCCTAGAAAATTCAAAATTTTCTGAGATTTTGAAATTTCCTATTACCATTTTCAAATTGTCATAAAAAATAATTTTTCGATTTTTATAGATTTTTGTTTTTTTCCTATAATTTTTTTTTGGGTTTTTAGGGTTTCTTCCAAATTAGTGGGAATTTTTTGATAGATTTTTTCGAAAATTTCTTAATTTTTAAAAAATTACTGTTTCAAAGTAAAAATTATGATTTTTGAGATTTTGGAGATTTTGATTTTAAAATTTTCAATGTTGAAAAATGTTTGAAACTGGGAAGTTCTGTTAATTTTCCAAGAAAATCCAAAAAAAAAATCGGAAATAAATTATTTTTAAAGATTTTTTGAAAATTACTGTTTCAGAAGAAATTGAGGATTATTGAAATTTTGAAAATCCTAAAAAATTATTTCCTGATTTTCATAAAATTAGTGTTTCATAAAAAAAATTCAAAAATTTTTAAATTTCAAAAAAGCTTTTTGAATTTTGAAATTACATTTTCAAAAAAGGTTTCGAAATTATTAGAATTTTTGTTTTTATGAAAATACTTCATGAAGAATTGAAGAAAACCACAAAAACTATAATATCTGTTTTTCTTGAAACAGTAATTTTTTGAAATTTTCCAAAAATTGAATTTGACAAAACTTCAAATTTAATTCAGTATTTTGATTCAAGTCTTCTAAATTATTGAGTTATTAAAATTGGCTACTTATGTATTTTGAATCAGATTAATTTGGAAGAAAATTGCCATAAAACAAGGAAAATTATTGAAGCAGTAAATTTTAAAAACTTGCTATTATTTCAAAAAATTCTAATTAGTGAGGATAATATTTTTCTATTAATCATACTGCCGGTTTCACTTTCATAATTTTGATTAAAAATGGAATTTAGAAAAAAATTTGTAACAGTAATTTCTGAATTTTTCGAAAACACAAAAATTCATAAATTTGGATGATTTTAAAAAGTTTTACTGTTTCATAGTAAATTCTGAGATTTTCACGATTTTGATGCGCGTTTCCTGATCGGTTTTAATTTTTGAAATTCCTGAGAATTAAAAATATTCATGAAATTCCAAAATTTTCATAAAACTCTAAAAATATTGCAAAGTTACTGTTTCAAATTAAATATGAGATTTTTGAAACTTTTCAATTTTTAATTCTTCATGTTCTGTTTTTGAAAAAAAAATTAAATTCTTTTCAACTTTTATCGATTTTGGTTTTTTGGAATTTTTTGGCCTTTTTCGACCAGGGATTTCTAGGAAAAATCATTTCTTTAAGATTACTGTCCATTTCTTGAGAAATTTTTCAATAATTCTAAAATTTTAAAAAATTACTGTTTCATAGAAAAAATTAAGATTTTTGAGAATTCGAAATTTTCGGTCCAAGAATTTCAATTTGATCAAAAAAGTACCAAAAAATTTAAAAAATTCGAAGAATACTGAGTTTTCTAAAAATTGCAAATAATTCTTTAAAAATTTTCAAATTAAAAAAATTACTGTTTCAAATGAAATTGAAAATTTTTGAGTTTTCGAAACTTTTGAAAACTCCAAAACAAGATTTTCTGATTTTCCGAGAACTACAGTTTCATTAAAAGTTTGAGACTTTGAAATTTTCAATTCGTTGTTGTTGTTGACACTTGGTCTGAAATTTTTTTGAATTTGAAAATTTGAAAATTTCTGAATTCTTAGTTTTTCAAAATCTATAAATTTTGATACTGAATTTTCAAAAAAAAAATCAGTTTCAAAAATATCATAATTTCTAGAAGTTGGTGATTTAAACGTCCGAAATGGAAAATTACTGAAACAGTAATTTTCAAAATGTTGCTGTTTCAAAAAAAATTATTTTCGAATGATGGTTGTTTTTCAATTTTCCATTTTATGCATGCTTGTAATACTGCCTTAACTTCTTTCAGAATCAATGTTTTTGAACCAACTCAGTCAGATATGATAGAGCTCAACGAGTACTACAAAACGGTATCATTTGGAATACTGTATCTTGACTATGAACAGAGTTACAGTGCAAAAAAAGCAAAAAAAAGCAGGCCCGCCCCGGGCCTGCCGGGCCCTGCGAGAGAAGCCACTTTATGATCTGTAACTCTATTCATAGACAAGATACAGTATTCCAATTAATACCGTTTTGTAGTACTCGTTGAGCTTTATCATATCTGATTGAGTTGGTTCAAAAATATTGATCCTGAAAGAAATTATGGTAGGGCCCGGGAAGGCCCGGCAAAGGCCCGGATTACAAGTATGATTTTATGCAAAACTTTGAAATTTTCGTTATCATATTTGATTAATAGAAACGATTAAAGAAAAAACCGAAAAAAATTCCCTTAAACTCCAACAAATTGCGGTTTCAAAATTTTTTAATTTTAAACTTTTAAAAAAATTGTAATAAACAGGCCAAGAACTCAGAAAATAAACTTAAAATAAAAAATCCGTAACCTAGAAAATCCTATTTTTTGTTCTCGCAAAAATTTTACTGTTTCAAAAACTGTATATGAAATGTCGAACTTCTGTGCCAAGTAATTACATCTTTCGAAAAAAAAACTTCTTCCTCATCTTATTTACTCTTTTTTGTTTCTAATTTCCACGTGTTGCCTCATTACCCACTCAATTATCTCTTAATTAGCTTTTTAATTAATGCAATTTTCAGATGTGCGTCTCCGAAGAATTCGGACCGCGCTTCTTCGGTTGTCTACTCAATTTATGGCTTCTCCCGTTGGTTTGTGGTGTTGGTGAGTTTAAAAAAAATTGAAAAAATTACTGTTTCAAAAATTACTTTTGACCTCCTGCTTTAATTGAAAAATGCGATTAACGGATGCACTAAAATGAAAAAAAAGTTAATATTAAGACTTTCGATTTTCAAAATCCGAGCTTCCAGGTCTAATCCTCAACATTGGCTGTCTAATTGTCTTTTTCTCGACTCGAGGTCATCCACTGGTTCCGGTAAGTGCGCTCTACCGACGAATCATCAATGGAGCGCATTTTCAACATTCAGGCTCTTATCTTCTTATCATTCTGCGACTGCCTTCAACTCTTCTTCTCATTTTTAGTACTTTTCCTTCCGGCCCTACACGACTTTTCCCAATCCACACCGTACTCCACTCTAGGTGCAGTAAGCCTCCTGGAAACTACAGTAACCCTTAAGATTCAGGTCAACTCGCCTACTTGTCCACTGGTCTCCTATCTCCACTACTCTTGGCATTCAATTGCGCAAGTATTTGGACAATTTGTTTCATTTCGATTCAGAGACATCGGGTAATTCAATTTAAAAAGTTAAAAAAAAAAGAAATCTGCGTTCGGGGGGAATCGAACCCCCGTCGAATGCTTGGAAGGCATCCATGCTGACCATTACACCACGAACGCGCCGACAGTGCGAGGAGTGGAGGGCGTATAAGAATAGGGGAGGAGAGAGTGCGAGACGGCGAGAGAGGAGGGGGAGGGGGGAAATTGAGAAAAGTGGAAAAAATGGGGAGAATTAAAAATGGTCAATTAAGGGCTAAATTATAGGATTTTCGACCAATTAAATTCCTTCAGGCTATTCTCCGACCGCTTTCAAGCATCTCGTCGCCATCTAAACCCTTCAAACCGCTGTTATTCATTTCTGCAATGGCTCTTTCGTTCAATGGCTGTAAATGGGCGGAGTTTCGATGGTTTTGGTCGCATGACCCGACGAATTCATCAGATTATCAGTATATTTTGGCACATGAGCCGTCGGACTTGGCAAGGAATGAGAACTATCATCGAGTGGTGAGTTGAACGTTTGAACGAACAGGATTAGCAGATTTTAAAAAATTTAAGCGGAATTTTTTTCTTTTTGAAACAGTAAAATCCACTTATTTTGAAATTTTAAATGAAAGAAAACTTAATTATTCTCAAAATAGCTCAGAGTTCAAACTGCAAGGCCTGCCGTTCAGTGGAGCGCGGTTGCGAAGCGATAAGAATATTTTTCGCTGAAAACTTGATTTTTAGCATATTTTTATTGATTTTTTCACCTTTGAGAGCTAATAAACCATCGAAATATGCGAAAATCACTAAAAATTGGCCAATATTTAAATTTGGAAAAGTTAAAAAATTAGTACTCGCAACCGCGCTCCACTGAACAAAACAGTTGTAGTTCGAACTAAAAACTTAAAAGAGCGTAAAATGCGTGAAAACCATATTAGAAAGGGTCTCTGTAATAGAAGGGCAGTCTCAAGCGCTATTACTCAGCTAGGGACCGCTACGCCGACACGCGACGCGTCCAGACTTGACAAGGTGCCAAACTTCGAAGCGAGGAAGGACATGTCCTTCTGATAGAGACTTTAAGAAAGTTATAGAATGGGAAGACCTAATGGTTTTTAAAATCAACATTTTGAGACAAAATGTTCTTTGAAACAATTTTTTCAATTTTTTGAAAATATCAAAAATCCTGTGCAACATTTTTTTAACATCACTTTTTGAATCAGTCACCGATACTATCCATTTTTAATGTAACTCGTCCACTGTTAATTTTTTAAATATTTTTTCTACAAGAAAAAGTTGAAACAGCAAAAAAGTCTTGTTTTTAAAATATCAAATTTGGCTAAAAAATGAAGTTTAATTATCTCGGTTACCGTAAGAGTTATCAAAAAGTTGCCAACTAACAAACTGTTTATCATATTATCAGTAACATTTTATCAGTTGACCACTTTTTGATATCTTTTCAAGGAACCGAGGTAATTAAGCTCAAAGGTACTTACTGCACTTTTGCAATTGAAGCAATTTGTCTCGGTTACTGTAAGAGGTATCAAAAAATTGACAACTGATCAAATGTTTATCATATTATTATCTATATTTTATTAGTTGGTCACATTTTGATATCTCTAACAATAATCGAGATAATTGAGCTCAAAAATCAATACCTCCTATTCCAGCTCGACAATCTCCTCTACCCCCTCCTGGTCTACCTGGTCCCTCTTCTTTTGCTCTCAGTCTTAAATTTCCGAATCCTGACTAATATTTCCAATCGGAGAGTGTCATTCGATCACAAGTCTCGATTTGCACAGGTAAGCTCCGCCCACTTTTTAGTCCCCCTAAGCTCCTCCCACTTTTAGGAGCGTCGTTCTGTAACATTGCTCATTTCCATCGTGACAATGTTCTTTTTATGTCATACGGGAGGATTGGCATATCGATTTGTGGACCAGGAAAAGTACAATAATTCGGAGCTTTTTGTTCTGCTAAAGGATATTATCAATTTGCTCTTTAATGTCTATTCATTTACAAATCCATTGGTGAGTTTTTTTGGATTTTTTTGGCGGGAAAATATTTAAATTCAAGTTTCAGCTACAGTAATCAGAGAACTTATTTAAATTTTGCAAAAAAAAAAACTTTAAATTTGGGCATTTTGGAATTTTTTCTTCAAAATTTTGTAAATTTTGAATTTTGGGTTTTCAAATTCAATAGGTCGTTGAAAGTACAATAAAAACATTAGCCCCGCCCCTTGCGCAGATTTTTTTGTTAAAAAAATTGTTGAGAAATTTCTGAATTTTTTGAATTTCTGAAAAAAAAAGGAAAATCTTTTATTTGAAAATAGGACTTGCCCCAAAATTTAATTTTGCAAAAAAATACTGTTTCCAAATTTTGTACATTATTGATTTCCATGTTTTTTTTTTAATTTGATAACACATTGCCTTTATAATGGGAGTTTTGAAAATTTGGTGTGCTTCTTTGAAATTGGAAAAAATAAGAACAGGAAAAAATGTACCTACTGTCGTTTCAGTTCAAAATTTTATCAAATTATCAATTTTGAAACAGCAAGAGGGAACAATGTTGATTGGAAAATTGAACAATTTTCTAAATGTCTAAATTGTTTGATTTTCTGAATTACTGCTTTAAAAAAAACTAGATTTCACTGTACATTGCCGTTTTTCCATCTTTCCATCAAAATTTCTCTTTTTTGAATTTTTTTTTTCGGAAAAATTGAAGTGAAATTCCAGAAATTAATTAATTTCTGGCCATTTCTCTCTGTCATTCGTCTTCAATTTCAGCAAAAAAATTATTAAGAGGCATGGGTTTTTCTTGCGGCAGTTGCTCATTACTCAAATCAAATTTTTGCCGAGTATTTTTGAAAATTTTGTTGATTAGTAGAAATAGGAAACCCCATAGTAAAAAATAGGAAACCCCAGAAAGAAACCCAGAAATTTTCAACAAAAAAAAATACTAGAAAATTTCCAACAAATTCCCAGAAAACCCCAAAAAATCTGAAATTTTCAGCTCTATTTCGTGTTCACTCGCCAATTCCGCGATCTTCGAACAATGTGGAATTCGCACTTCGCCTCTCCAGCGTCTCGTTCCGAAAGTTATGCGATTACGGTAAGTGAGAGAGTGGGAGAGAGAGAGAGAGCCGCAGAGAAAAAAAAAACGAAAAAAAACCTTTTAGTTCTTCTTCAACTTGAATGCAAAACTGTAAAGGAGGTAATTAAAAATTACTAATTATGACTAATTACCTAAAATTTATTAACCAAAAAAATTACTGTTTCAAAAACAATCTAATAATCTTTCCTAACAGTGAACATCTAATGGATTATGTGTGTTCAACAATATCCAAATACTCACTAATTACCCTAATGGTCCTAATCAACTTACATTAATTACCCTAATTCTAGAAAGTCAGAAATTCGGAAATTTAAAAATTAGAAATTGTAATCTTCTCTAACACTGATTAACTGATTAATCAATTAACAATACCTAATCTAGACGTTCTTGAAGTGCTAACTACCCTAATAAACCTTCAGGGCGCCAAACCGGGAAGCTCAAAAGCCCAACGACACCTATCAATGCACTCCCTCTACCGTACCCCGTGTGTCTCTGGAAAATTATTGCCTTGATTTTTTTTTTTTGGTTTTTTATATTTTTTGGTACATGATCTCTTTTTTTTAATTTGTCAAATCTCATATTTGTTCTTCCCTACGAGTAATAAAACATTTTCCAAAATTCCAAAAATTTAAATTTTTTGGCTATTTTTAGGGGTCATGAAAAAAATAATGTTCTCGAAATTCCGTTCAAAGATGCCCCTCGAGGAGTTGAACTTGTGAGGGCGATGATTGAGGGTGCGGCGCCGCTACCGACTGAGCCACGCGGGCAAAGAGAAAGCGCACGCCCGTTTGCATACATAAAGGCGAGGACGACAGGTGTACGCAGAGTGACATTAAGCGTTGTACACCGTGACGGTAGAATGCATACTCTAGCTACAAAAAAACTACGAAAAATCTCCTGTCCCCCCACCTTTAAATTACTAGAAAAACTATTCCCAGGTTACTTACTGTGTGAAGTCATCAAGCAGAAAGTTGACAAAGGAACATGAAAAAAATTCCTGTTTCAAAATTGACCTAACTAGCGATTCCAGACTTTTAGAATCAATTCAATCGAAGTGTAAGCCAAAATCACCACAAGAAATGGTATGGGCTCAAATTCAAAAACTTTACTGTTTCACACAATTCCGATAATTTTATAATTTCTCCATGATTTGTTTGATATCAACTAACTAACTAATTGTAAGTAAGTGAGGAAATACTGTATTCTACAACCAAAATCTGGAATTTTCAAACAAATTGAAACATTTTGGACCACTTTTTCAGGGCCTCACTTTCCTAAAAATAGCCAAAAAATTTAAATTTTTGGAATTTTGGAAAATGTTTTATTACTCGTAGGGAAGACAAATATGAGATTTGACAAATTAAAAAAAGAGATCATGTACCAAAAAATATAAAAAACCAAAAAAAAAAATCAAGGCAATAATTTTCCAGAGACACACGGGGTACGGTAGATGGAGGGCATTGATAGGTGTCGTTGAGCTTTTGAGCTTCCCGGTTTGGCGCCCTAATCCAGAAAATGTGGCTACAACACTGTATTCCTGAAATTAACAAAAAAGTTAAAAAATATTTTTCAAAATTTTCGAAGAAAACATTTTTTTTCGAAACTTTTTTTTTGCAAATTCCCGAATTTTCTGCTGAAAAAATTCAAATTTTCTCTATTTCGAGGTTTTTCTAATTTGAAAAAAAAACATAATTCTTCGAAAATTTTGAAAATAAAATTATTTTTTAAATTTTAATTTTTTGCAAATTTTGCAGCTTTGATTGCTCACAATCACTGTTAAAATCTGTTCCAGCTTGCTGAGAGCTTCAAAATGCGCCCAAACACGACTAGTTTCCCTCGAATTTTGCATTTTGACCCGGCGACCGCGACGCGACCACAGCGCGCCGGTCGAAATTCGAAATTAAGGGAAACTAGTCG